AAGCAGCTCGAAAAAGACGGGCTACGGCCATTCCTGATTCCACCCGCTCTGGCACAGATATCCCTGTAGAGGGCGTGCGCGTGTGCACCTGTGCAGATGTATCCAATGGATACTGCCAAATTGGCAGTGTCATCGGGAGGGCCGGACAAGCAAAGGCGACAGGGTAGTGAAATAGAAATTCGATAATCCAATAAAAGAGTCTGCACACCTGCACACGTGCACAGTCTTTGAGAACCACGACAAGAAGAGTGGACCACATTGGTTAGTAGAAAGGGTCCAGAACCCTTCCGAGGAGGTGGAGATGAAACGTAGTAGTCGCCCTGGTACCGCTGCGGTACCACCCAATCCCGACTTCCCGCCATGGGGCTACGTGAGGTCGACCGAACTGGCGCGCCTTTGTGGAGTGTCGATGCAGACCGCCTGGAACTGGCGTGTCCGACGACAGGGGCCTCCTTCGATACAGGATCGCTCGCGTCGGGTCTGGTACCGGCTCGCCGACGTCCAGAGCTGGATCGAAGGCGACCGAACTCCGGACGACATCATCCTAGCGTGGCTTCAGGAGCGATTTCCGGGCCTCCAACCTGCGCCCGCAACTCTCGTATCCCTAACTGCATTTCTAGACACCACTTCGCTCATCAAACCGCGGCGCATGCCGAAGGGCGATTTTGCTTCGAAGTTTATTTCAGCCGCTTGAGGAAGATAAAATGTCGAACGTCATCTCAGAAGATTCTCGTGAGCACCAACCGATGAACATAAGGGAAGTAGATGCGCGCTTTGTACCCACAAGAAAACAATGGCTGGTACTGTGTCCGTATTGCTCACTTGTTCACTTCCACGGCGCGCCGGACAGGTCCGTACATTCCGCAGGACAACGGAGACCGCATTGCCCTCTCGGCTTCACTCCACGTGACTATTTCTTGGTTCCGGCCGCGACGCTAGACGAAGCAATGGTCGAGTTTCTTGAGGGACAAAGCGATCTCCGGCGCCCACGCGTTTTGGAGAAGATTGAAGAAGACAAGGCGAAGGCGAGAACTAAGAATCTCTTAAATCGAGAGAAATGCCTAACTGGCGAACTGCCTCCTTGGCATTACTCGGATTACCGGTGAAATGGTATCCTAGCGTCGCACCGCCAACATCGTCTCACAGAAGCTGAGAGTCTGCGCCAACGCCGACATGGACTTCGCATTCTGTCGGTTAACCTGAATGCGGATAGTTTGCCATTCGGAAGGAGCGAGCACTTTGTCGTTCACTTCGTAGAGAACCAAATCGATGTGCGACCTACTTTCGTAAAGTCCTCGAAGGAGATTAACCGCCGAATCTCTTCCGAAACTCACTATGGCGGTACTGTAGCCTTGCGTATTCAATAGG